CCTGCTTGTAATGCCCCGTCCTGCATCTGGGTTTGGGTATGGGTATGGATCTCAGTGTGGGTCTGGGCTTTTGGATGCCCCCTTAATCTCACCAGCGGCACGTAGCCGCGGGATGGACAGAGGAGTGGCAGTGGTCCTGGGCAGTAGTTTTACATACAATGCCAATGCTACTACCGCGGGCATTCTCTCTCTTCTTCTGGAGCTGAAGCTGGAGCTGGGACTGAAGCTGGAGCTGATCGCATGCGATTGCGATCGGCGCGGTAACAAAGCGATAATGCGAAAATCGTGTAATCCATTAGCGTAACTTTTTGCAAATTTGTGACAATGACAATATTAAGATAACACATACAGCAACGTTCGCTTACGCGTTGGGAATCGCTTTTGGATTTGGACTCGGATTCGGCTGCTGGATCTGGCCTTTGGTCCATTGTTTTTCGCCGGCCAAATTAATTTGTCGTCAGTGGAGTTGATGCGGATCTGGGCGAGAATCGATGCCATCGAGTTTGGTGGTCCCAGCCGAGAGGGTCCAGCCACCAGCCTGTAGCCTCTCCCTGCCAGCCTCTGTCAAACTGGAAATGCGATGCAGCAAAGCGCAGCCGCAGATTCATCTCCAGTTCCAGCATCAGCTTCAACTCCATCTCCTCATCCGATCCGATCCCATCCAGTGGCGGGGTATCAGCATGTGCCTTTAATTGAAGATGCGTGCGCGCATACTTGAATCGCGCAAACAACACTTTGATCTTAAAAGAAGTGACGTTTAGTGGTAGTTTCGCGGTGATAATGATCTCTCGGCGGGGACAGTGATGCCATTTATTATGCACCGATTATCGGGTTCCGTATCCAAGGGATACCCCCCCCCATACCACAGCGCCCACTGTCCTGGCTTAGATGGCATATCAGTGTCCCATAAACATTTCCAGCATACTTATTATATATTTTTCTTGCTTTAATCAAGCAACAAGGCCATCTATGGATTTTACCTTAAAGACTATAATAGAAATCTGTCCTCGTACACAAATCCAGCCCAAAAAATCGGTGACTGAATACCGGAAATTCTGTTGTTTAGCTTGGGAGCCATCGGATCGGATCGGGAGTCATTGCCCCGGAGGGAGATGAGACTCCGTTTGGTCGCCCATCGGCTGTTGTTATGATTTGTCACCTTTTTAATTTTTAGATGGCAGCAAATGTAAACTATTGTCGCCCGGGATGTAAACATGACACAAGCAACGAAAACAAATATCTGTCTCCGTGCGTCACATTGCGGCAGTGTTGCTTGTTGTTGTCGTCTCGGGGCCACGAATGCAACATTTCAGCTTCTGAAACACACGTAAAAAAAAACATAAGCAATTTAAGTAATTACAACTAAAAACCTGCAAGGGATCTCTTAGTATAGATATATGGATCTTTGAGATACAAAAGCCCTATAGGTTTAAATATTAATAAATATTTTTGGGGTATACTTTGCTCAGCGATTGTCCAGTCTCCTCTCTCCGGCTGCAGGGTATCGGAAAGTGAGCTGGATAGCCGGTGCAGTTAATCGCACGGAACATGGAGCATCTGGACCCGACCGACCCACATCAAATATCGGTTTATTGCATTGCCTGCTGCACCGCAGCACGACACGGCACGGGGATCGGTAGTCCGGAGTCTAGAGTCCCGGATCCTCCATCTCTCATCTCCCGCCTCCAAGTCCGCCGCATGCCACCGTTGGCATACATTTCCTTCGACTTAAATTTTCCTGCGACAGCGCTTTTGTGGCTACACTGAGAGAAAAAAGTCTGTCTAGATTTTTAAAATCTCTTTTTGCCATCATTGTTAAATTTTCTCGAATAGATTAAGTTTTTTATGCAAGAGCTGCTTAATGTAAATACTTTCTGTCAAGAGATGTTAAGAGACCTACTTCCTGTCAAGTGAAAAAGAGAGCTCCTGTCAAAATTTCCTGTCAAGAGTTATTGTTCTCTCCTATTAACTATTAGCTCCTATTAACATATCTAATTCTTGTCCAGACTTCCAGCCAAAGGAAAAGAGAGCTTCTGTCAAGATATTTACTTCCTGTCAAAACTTCCTGTCAAGAGAAGAAAAAAGCTTTTATCAAGTGATCTTCTCTATAACAAGACCTCCTGTCAAGACTTTTTCGGCTCGACAAAATAACAGCTGGAGATTTCTGTAAGTTTATCACCTGAGATTATTATTAGGTATTCCCAAAATGCTCAGTGTATAGAACGGCGGGTGGAGCACAACTCCCCCATCTTCGTCACCACCCCACCCATCGTCTTCGATTACCCGCGGCATCGAATACGAGTACGAGTATGGGTGTGAGTGGGAGTGTGAGTACAGGCACGCACACAGCCGACGTATTTTTAGCTAGTGTTGATGTCTTCAATTAAAGAACCGCGGATGCTGCCAACAACAATTAGATTGCGGTGTTAGTTTAGTTAGTGCGAGTGCGAGGCGATGTCGGCATGGTCGTACCGTTCCAAAAGGGGGGGGAGAGAGTCGGAGGTGGAAGCTGGGGGGCGGGTGTCATCACTGCAAGGTGTCGCCGCCGTCGCCACCTCAAGAAATTAGTTGTCAAATGCTTTTCAGCGATTTCTGGGTGACAGACGGCTTTTACCAAAGTGTCGCCACCTCCACATCGACGTCTCCGTCTTTGCCGGCCGTGAATCACCGCCGAGTGACACCGAACGAGAGAGAGAATTTCAATTTGTTTGTGTTAATAACTTATAAATTTATGATTTGCCACCAGACTCGCGGTAATGGCTTGCCTTGGCCCCCCCCCCACGAGAACGGAAAGAAAGCAGCGGCACACACATAGTCTCCCCTCCTTGTCAATATAATCGATTTAATATGAATTTTTCCATTAGTCGCAGTCGCAGTCTCCGATTTTAGACGCGTCGTTCCCTCCACTATATAGCACACATGGTCTGGACTATGGATGTACTTGTCGGGGTTTGGGAACAGAGAGAACTCGGCAAGTATTTCTGGGATAGGGACCACCAATTGTGGAGTTCTTGCGGAACGCGCTGCCTGAATAAATATATAAAAACTGGTCAATCCAAACTGTGTGCGGTTTCGGATTTTATGACCTGTGACTCGGGCCCCACTGCCAAGAGTGGTGCACTGGAATCTGGGGAACCTATAGAAATCGGAAATCTGAAATCTGTATGTTTCCTTCTCTCCGGTGGTGGTCCGGCGAGATGCGGGCCTTTTGCCGGGTCGATCGATCCATCGGATGGTTGGACATCCCCGCGAATTGTCGGCTACTCCAGAGCGTGACTCTTTGGACAGATGGGTGTAGTATCCACTGGGTATCCGCCACCCGATCTATCCCCTTTCCAGTCACTCAGTCACGAACGGGTGTATTTTTGGATTTATCACTGGACCCCGAAGCGTGTGTTCCACAGACGGCGGTGGTCCCCATAATCGCATTTCGTAGCGCAAAATTCTGTGTATTTGCGGTCGGTTTATGATCTCTTATTTCAGTTCGAAGGCAAATGGATTTATGCAGTTTTCCGAACAAACTATCGGGTGGCGAAAATTGTGAAAAAAAACCTATTTTGGAAATCGATTTTATTTGAATTTCATTTTGGGGAAATTACTTTTTTAATAATACTTTATTTGTAACGAAGCCAGGTTGATGCTCTTTGAGGCTTAGGAAGTGAATATTTGAAATATTTGAATTAATAATAACAAGAAGGAAGTTCAGAAAGTCGAATTTTGTATAGCCTTGAAGTTTGCAATCAATATCAAATACTTGGCACTTTGCGTTTAAGAAAAACTACTAACTTAAGGCAGACACCGGTCTAGATCTGCAAGCTGGAGCTCTCCAGCACGTCATATTTGGCTAGACTCTCTTTTGGGTGGTGCAGGGTACCACTGGCTTGGCATACCTCACTCGAGGACTGTTAATTGATGGCACCACGCCTTCTCTTCCTCCTCCTCCGACTGACGCGTGTATATTAAATCGTTGACAAGCAGCCTTCGCCTTCACTCAGCCGCCAACAAAGTGAAAATTTATTAAACTTCTAAATAGTGTTGACAAAGATGTACGGTAGTGTGACAGACATGACAAATAGTTTGCAGGGACCAGCCCAGACCAGCCCAGCCCTGGCACCGCTCACAACACCCCATCTGCATGTCGCCGTGACAGCAGCAATTTAAAGTGATGACTTCCCGGACCTGCTGGGGGTGGTGCTGGTGTGACAAAGTGCCGTGAGAGTCGGTGGAGGAGGAGGAGGAGGAGTATGGGTAGGTGGTCGGGGAGGCGCCACATCCAGGCGACCACCCAGCCTCAATTTGAACATCATTAAATGAGTTAATGCCATTTAAGGCTCTCGACATCTGTACGGATCTGTATATAGTAGCACATATATTTACCGTATCCATTCTCCCTTCTGCCCACTTGCTCCAGGGTGGCTGTGGTTGGGCCATTGGTCACTGTTGTGTTGTGGCCACTTTTTCACATTGTTTTCCTTGTGCCAATATGTATCCGCATCCGCCGCATCCGCATCTGAATCCTTTTTCGCTCACACACACATTTAAATTTTTTTCCTGCTGCCGCTTAATGGCCTTCACTGTGGAGTACCCATACCCACTGACATCCACACCCAACCATCCAGCCATCCAGCCATCCATCCATCCCCGAGCGTATTGCTTTCCGGCAGCATCCGTTCATCTTCCCTGGCGTTAGGGGTGGCCGGATGGAGAGTCAATCTCGCATCATTCTTCACAGCGTTTAAGAATCAATTTCCAACACACAACACAACAAGTATCAACATGGCATTTGTGCCTGTCCCCCGCCCCATCCTGGCAGCTAGCTCATCCTTCAAGTTTCCAACTTGAAATGCCCGGGCGTGGGGTGTAATGTAACCCGCACTTCTGGGCATATCCCGCTGCGAAGGGGTTTCTTGTTGGGAATAGGAAGCCTTATTGATTATGTATTACAGTCCAGATATTAGCCTCCGATCTCCGCAGATCAGAGTAGGCCATACAGATCGCATCACTTCACAGAGTCGTCTCCGGACATCTGTGTCACAACCATTTACACATTCGTACGAGCTCCATAAATTACTCCAATAATATACATATATTCTATATTTTCCGGCACTTTTGTAACATTTTAGTAATTTCCTTTTTATAAATTTTCCTCCCACGAAGCGTGAAACATGCCCCTGTTCCGGCTGCTCTTTTGTCAGGAGCAGATGGCCCGCGATCTGTATGAGAACTGGTTAATTATATTTATTGGCATGTTTGTCCGCTGGAATCGTTTGCACCAACTGGAGCTGCCCTGGGCAAGTGCTCAGCCATTCCTGGATGGCTCTGACTATCGCCTGGCGGAGGTGTTCTTCGGCTGCGGCCTCCTGGCCTTCCTTTTGCCATTTCGTTGCTATTGGGTCCGGAGGTGCCGGCACCGCTTTCAGCTAATGATGCTGGCCACCGAGGTGGTCATACTGCTGCGGATCGTGGAGTTCAACGATAATGTGGTGTGGCAGCCCTTCCTGGCCATTTATCGGGACATGTTTGAGGTAGTTGGTAGGAGTGACTATCGGATCTTTGGCTATGTGCCCGGCTTGGCTGCCTGGCTGGCGGATGGCAGAGCCTACGAGTCCTTTCAGCTGCTAGTCTCCTTTGGCTTTTTCGTGGCCGGCTTTAATATTGCCGCTGAAGGGTGGATCCGGACCGTGGATCTACTGCTGCTTGGCAATGAGCCGAAGAATCCGGGTACAGTCTGGAGGCGGCACTATCGCCAGTTCAAGAGCCAGGGCAGATGCTTCATTAGCTCTCCGCCGAAGCCCAGGCCGGACCTTCTCATGTACCGGCGCCTGTGCAGGGCCTGTATCCAGGAAGCTGCTATGACCTTCGATGCTGATCTATAAACAGATTTCAAGAGATCTCTGCCAGATATCAAGACTTGAGACTTAACCCATGAAAATACACAAAAAAAAATCTTCAATTGAGTAACCTTTAAAGGCCTGTTGGAGTTCTTGTTTAATGATTAGATAAATTCCCTGAGAGTAAAGCCCAACTAACTTGCTCGAAATGCTGTCAGTTATTTTTGGTAAAACACTTAAAGCAACATTTGGCCTTGACTTGATTGTGAAACTGTTTAAACTGCAAGCTGAATATTATATTAAGTTCTAATCAAGCTTCTTCTTTTTGGTGTTTCCCCCTGCTGCTCCTTGTCTGTGCAGTGCGGATAATAAATGTAATACTCGCATGTGGATTAAGTCATAATTGCCCACCTGTGTGCTGTGTGACGGCACCTGGAAAACTCAATCAGCCGGGCATCATAAATTTATGAGAATTAAATTAAATTATTCAATCAGTTGCCAATCCCAATGCCAGGACTGCTTTCGACTCCTGGGCGTGTGTGGGTGTATGTGTGCCTTGCCGGGCAAATCTGCGTGAGAGTCTCCGGACTGTGGATTCCCCGGACTCTGGCGGGTGGTGGGTACACCATGCTCCATGCTCCATAGCTGGTGTGGCCGGGTGTCGTGTATGCAAATATGTTTGACAGTGTCGCTTTATTGTTCCGCTCCGTTCCATGTGGCTTGGCGCACTCCGGAGGAGTGTAGCGGGGTGGGAATGGTGGGCAAGTGCCAGAACCACTTGCTGCTTGCTCTGCCAGAGTGCCGCTTAGTTGTGGAAAGTCACGCTGCCATATTGCGTGTTTTGATTGATGGATAAGCGCGGTATTTGTTTTGCAAACACTTGACAGGCGGCTTGATTAAAAAACTTCACTGCTCACATGGGACCTGGGACCTGGGACCTGGGACCTGGGTATCCGAAATCCGGGACATATATACAGGCGTGTCCCAGGATCAGACCCAAGAGCAATTACCATGGGGCGACTCTAACGCCTGTTCCCTGATTTGTTGTCGCCATTTATTTCACGACCTTTGCGTTGAACATGCAAATTAACGCAAATGAAATTGTCGAGGCGCTCCCGCTCATTCCTCATCCTGTCAGATGTATGTCGTCGCCGGCTCTCTGCCCGCTGATTAATCGGAAACTCATAAAGCCAGCGAGAGATTCAGCCAGCATCCATGGACATCTGTATTTGGATGATGGCCACCAGCTATATAGGCAGTTGCTGTTGCTCTTCTGGTGTTATTTTTAGTCGCGTTTTTCTGGTGGGGATCTGGGGGGATCCAAGAAGACGAGGTGACAGATGTTCCCCGGTCAACGTGAGTAGGCAAACATCTGTGGGTGGGAAATTGTAAACAAAACACTAGAAAAGCCGACAACTGCTCTTGTTTTTCGCCCTTGGATGGCAATTTTTCTTAGTTTTTTAAAATATTTTTTTAATGAAAATTTCACAAATATTATATAAAGTAACTAGCAATACGTATGATTGATATCCAGGCATTAATAATACCTAGAACCAGTTAGTAAAGGATTCTCCTAATAACCCCCGAGTGCAAGTCTTGAGGGAGTCCAATTGCGAATGATTTACTCCTTGAGTTTACGCTCCAGTTTGTAGGGCACACATATTTTATAAATATAATATATATATCCTGAAAATGGATTGGATACTACACACACTGGCCCGCAATTACGATAACTACATAATGGTCTATTTATTACGAACGGCCTGCTAATCAGTGCGGTGGGGGAAAGTCGTGGTCCAGAAAAGGGTTGAGGGTCAGTATACCCGTACTGCGATACTTTTGTATTTATTTAGCCCCGTACAAAGATGTCATAAAAAACAAATTTCACTTTTATGTTTTGGCACGGCCACCGGGCGGAAAAGATTCATGGCCAGTTCGAATTGGCCCTGAGCACAAATCGCAATTGGGGTGTTTGGTGTTCGGTTTTTGGTGCCTTTGGACAGTAGTACACTGAGCACAAAAGGGGGTCAGGTTAAGCTTATCAGAAATCTAAGCAGAGATATATACAGTGATTTCCTTTTGGTAGTATTATCTATGGAGTCTTGCAGTAGGAATATTTTTGTAAGAAATTTGTTGTTAGCTTCCACGAAGAATCTCCAACAATGTTGTTAAGAGTGCTCTTAAAATTCCCAAGTCCTAATTCTGCGACCCGATAGCTATAAAGTATAATTGGACAGAACTTATCTTCTGATATATGTATACCAACAACTCTTATATATTTCCAATAAAACCCATATTTCTCAGCTTAAACTTAGTTTTAGTTTTGGGTTTCTTAATTTCACTGTTTAGTGTACTTTCACCGTAACAATTTCTCTCAGTGCAGCTATCGATGCTGATGCCACCAGCGATAATGCCCAATTTCAAAGGACTCGCAATATCCAGGCACTTGGCATTGGCATTAGCATTAGCATTTCTGGGAGCAGCCTGCGGGGCTGGCTCAAAGGGTTGGCGTGTGCATACATTTGTCAGGACAGAGGGGGATGGAGTGCTCCTGCTCTTCAGGATGTTGTCACCCCTGTTCTGGGAGCAAGGAAGCTGCCCAGTCTGGAGCCAAGGGGCGAAGGGTTGGACCGGTCCTTAAATGATTTGTCGCCTTTTACGCGAGCGATTACCACATTATAGGCTGGAAGCTGTAGCTGAAGCTGAAGCGCTTCTCATATCGGAAAACACTTTCGTTTATTGCAGCCGTGCACGGGGTATTCCCACTTGTATTCCAGAGAACCCGTAACCCGTAACCCGTAACCCGGACACGAACACAAACACAAGCCCGGGGACTAAGTCCGGAAAGCCGTTACAGCAGCAGCAGCACCCTGACTTGGGCGGGCATTGCGACACATTCCCGCCTTTTCCCATCGGGTTCATAAATAATTTCCAAGCACTCCTTGCATAAACAACAACGAATTCAATTTGGAGCCAGCGCTGAGCCGTTGTCTGATCCCTACCCGGGAGCCCTTTTCCAGCGTTAATGAGTTTCTACGCAATTTCGTTTGCCGGAATTATTAAAGGCCAGGACACAAATTATAATTCGAGGGGGGAGGCTGAGAGGGGAAAATAAAAACCTGGGGAAGCGAAATCGTTCCCCACTCCGATTTACCTTTTTTTTCCCAGCGAATTGTCATATTCGTGAGGGTTCGTGCGGACCCACTTAGCTATCTGATTTGTCACTCTGGCGGCTGTCCAAGGAGCCCAGGAATCATATTACACCTGGCGCGGGACCTGCTCTCCCTGAGCACAAGGCGCTAACAAATGAGACCACCGTTGTTGTGGTTGCAGCAGCAGCAGCAGCAGACTGTTGCAACTGTTGCATGTTGCAGATTAGATCGGAGCAGCAGCAGAAGCACTCTGCCTCTCACCCGGGTTGCCTGGCCTCTATGAAGCCACTTGAATATATTTTAAATTAAATTTTGAGTTAGAAAAAGATGAAAAGTATACTCAAAGTATACGTTTTTTTACTTAAGTTTAATTAAAATCAATTTTAAATAGACTTTTAGTTAAGGAATTAATTGAAATAACCAAAAGCTTAAAAGGGTATTTCCAGCTAAGCTGGCTGGCGATCTCTGTGCTGTCCCATTCGTGTGACCTGGCCTCTGTCCAAGTCCCATTCCCATTACCGATCCCAGATCTAGCTCCTGGACTTGGATTCGTGCAGCGGGTCGGATTTCAGGCCTGGCCATTGTCTGGCAGCAGCGGCGGAGACAATATTTTCCTTTATCTGGAGCAGCCTGGCGGAGGCGGAGGGGAGAAACCCAAAAACCCTTCCTTGGCTTGGATGGATGGCAGCCACAAATTGGAACTACGGGCCCTGGTTGTGGTGGCACGTCGTGTTTGCCCATTTAATAACCTCGAGCAACCCCTCCTTACCTGGCTGCTGGCCTCAAAATTGTTTTGTTTTATTGGTTTTGTCAATTTTCTCTGGCGGGTGACGACGAGTGCCGACTGTCGGAGTGGTGGTATGGCCAACGGTCAAGCGGTTCAAGTTTGTACAGGACGAAAGTCCTGGGACAGCTGCTGGAAACAAATTGCTGATATGTCCAGAAGCGATGCCGCAAATTAGTGTGTTTAATACGTGTGTGTCTGCAGAGCTAACAAATTGAACTCATTTCGCTTACATTGCGATGATCACCGGAAAACAAATGGCCGCCGAGTGCCAAGTGCCAAGTGCCGAGTACCGAGTGCCGAGCCTTCGAGTGACGGAAGCCAGGGTCCACACACACGTCCGTCCTGTCGGGGAGACCAGGACACGGGACACTGGCCACCAGCAGGGGCAAGGTGTGGTTATGTCCTACACCGGTACCGGGTCTTGTAAACACTCAGGCTTTTACACTAGGAGAAAATGGGTCAATTTACTATTTACTTAAATTTAAAAAATATATATTATATATAGGTATAAATATAAATATTGTAAGCTAAACAAAATAGCTTTAAAAGTAACTAACTAACACTTAAAACTACTTTAATTAGCCTGAAAAAGTCCAATGTCAGGGCTTAGAAAATGTGGGACTGCTGTGCTGCCTTAAACCCTATCTTCTCTCGGGATTTCTAGAATTGAAAAAGATGAAAAGCTATAACTAAAGGCATTCATATAGTCCTACGATTTCAAGGAGAGCTTTCTTCTGACTAAAAGTAATACTTGTACCCTCCCAGTGCTTAATAGTTGTTAGTTTTTCCGAGTGTAACTTTTGCGTGCTGGTCAAGCATTGTCGAGGAAAAGTGCTGGCCACATCCACATCCCCGGACTCGGACTCAGACTCGTACTAGGACTCCAACTTCAACTCCAACTCCATCTCGGACTGAAGACAAAGAGACAAATGAGCGGCACGTAAGTTATTTGCTGGACTTTTGTCCCCCTGCCGACCGTCAACGGGAACGCCCTCGGACATCAGATGTTATGGTCATAAACAAAAGTGTTTTAATAACAAGGTTAATGACAAGTGGAATGCTGCCGCTGCTGCCTCGTGCTCCTTGCACTAGTACGTGAGACAAGAGATTTCCGTGGGGCTGTCTCAAGACAGGACCCTCGTCCTTACGCCTGCGATTGAGTAAATCTGTCCAATGTCCGTCGTGCGGAATGCCTAATAGTTATGGACTTGTATCAAAATTTAATTATGTCAAATATTTCACATGTCAATGCAACTGGG